CAGCTGTAACCAGTGTTGCCTAAGAGACAAAGGCTATTAAAGCATGGCAGGCATGCAGTTAAGCTTTACTTGTTATGATCTTCCTGCTTCCAGTAATCTGAAGGTTAGAGATTTCCTGGGCCAGAGGTTGTACCTGGGTGTTTAATAACTTGTGATGGATTTTTTTCATTGACTTATCTGCCCACCTGGACTTCTGGTATTCATAACATCCTGTGGCAGTGAGTTCCACAGCTTAATTGGTGTGGGGAAAAATACTCCTTTTTGCTTGTTTTAATCCTGCCGTCTGGTAATCTTGTGTGCTAATCGACAATTTGCTGCTCCCGAGTTCTTCTGTGGAGTGAACGAGCAGTCCCAATCCCATTCTCCGTGACAGAAGTGATTTTATAGAGCTCTGTGACATTCCCTCCCCCTTGTCTCTCTTTCTAGGCTCAAGAGTCCTTTGAAGTCCTGGGAAATACTTGAAGGCAGTTTTGAAATGCTTTGGTGAAGGACTCTCTTCCCATGGGAAATGCTGAGCATTTGAAAGTCTCTTCACTGACACCCCTCTTACTGGACTGGCAGAGTTGAGGAAAGGTTCCTTGTAAGTGGTTGTGGAAAACCAGAATTTTCAAAACTGTCCTGGACTCTGCTGGAAAGCTTCTGGATAGGACTTGTAATGCAGAATATTCTTACTTAGACTTATTCTTACATAGTAGCCTCATTCTGGCTGCACCACATGCAGGGGTCTGGAGCACCATGCTGGAAGGAAGGGGTTCAGCCTGGCAGCTAAACAGGGCTGGGCTGTTGAGACACCTTCTGTTAGTGATCCTGCCTTCCCACTGCTCCCTAAATTTGTCCTGAACAGACAGCTGACACATGGCCACTGTTCATCTGCTGCAGTCACTATGGCAGAGCAGAGCCACCACAGCACACTCGGGATGATGTTATGTAGTGTTGGGACAGGAAGGGGCCCCCTGACTTAGGCTTCTGCTCCAGGATACCTTGTTAGCAGCCAGGCTGAAACCAGGTGGTAATGTCTGTTGCAGCACATGGTTATGAAAAGGTTGGGATTAAGAGGCAGTGTATTTCAACATAAATTAGCTAGCAAGACATGCACATTTAACATTTATGGTTTGGAGATTAAGACATCAGGCAGGAACTTGGGATATCTGGGTTAAATCCCAGCTCTGTCAAAGGCTTCTCAGAACATACTGGGCAGGTCATGTAAGGTAATACTTTCAGAAAGGGCTCAGGATTTGGGAGCTTATATCCAATTGACTTCCAGTAACTTCTTAAGTGTTTAAGGACAGGATTCACAAAAAACATTGCAGCATCAGCTGTTGTGCGCCACAGACCTTGGCAAGAGCAGTGAGTGCTTCGGGAAAGCACTTCAGTGTGTGAGGAGGCCTGTAGGTGACAACTGGAGACTCCTGGAAAGTGTGAGTTTGTGCAGGTCCCGCAGTGGCTGTGCACCTCGTACAATGGCCTCTGGGCTTAATGATGGTCCCTAGGTGCAACCTCAGCACAAATACATACTAATAAGTGTCTAAGTAGATAGATCCTGTAAGAGCTTTTATATCAGCTCCCTGAGGTGTGGATACTAATACCAACAATCATGAAAAGATTTTGCATATTTAAAATTAAATGAGCTTCATTCTCTAGAATTAAACAGCCAGAGACTGTGTTTCCAGCCAGTGAAGTACAGCGACGCATTCATTTGCTGGTTGAGCACGTGCCTGATGGGGAGCTGGCTGTGCTAGTGGGGGAAATGGGCTAGTGAGGGAAACCAGTGCATACAGGGACACTACTCACCTGTACGGCTGTAAACATGCAGCTGGCTGTTCTGCTCCTTTGAAAGAACAGCCCTAAAGTTTCTTTTCTCTCTTTTAAACCTTTATTAAACCTGTCTGGAAACTATGCTTGTTTCATCTCCTGCCAGGATTACAGATGGCAACAGCTGGTTTGATAAGGCCCTTTGAGACCAGCTGTAACCTGAAAGAAGCTGGAGGGTTCCTTAAGTACCATGTCAGGTGGGCTCTGAGACTGTCCCAGACCTTTGCTTCCTAATTATCCATCCTGGAAATGATGGTTAGAGTTTTTTTTAAGGGTGCTTGTTAGCAGGGTGCTTGTGAGCAGTAAGAGCCTGCAGCCTGCTCCAGGAACTCCCTGCCTGCATGAGAGGGGTGCAGCTGCTTTCCCTTGGGAAAGGACCCTGCTCTCTGGCATGCAGTGTGGAAGCCTGGCTCACCTCTCCTCTGCTTCCATGTCATACAGCCTCTTGCTCACTTTTGCCTGTCTGGGACACACAGCCTGCATCAGAGGCACTAGCTGCCTCCAGCGTGCCACAAAAGGACAATTTCATAATGAATGAGGGTGATTTGCTAAGTGGGGGGTCCTGGAGCCCAGCCATAATTGTGCTGCTGCTTTATCTGAGCCTCACACCTGCTCATGTAATGGCCTGGCTGTGATCCGCTCCCTTCCCCAGTGCACGCTCTGCCCTTCTGCTCCTGGAGGAGCCATCAGTTCTCTGGCCCCGTTGCAGTCCCTCACCCGCAGCCTGTGGGCACGCACAAATTCACCTTGAATTGCAGCAGGGCCACTGGGCTGGCTGCCATGGACATGACTGCTAACCTGGCTTTCGTGTCCTAAATAACAGGTTTTTAAATGAAATCCTTCTTCCCAAAAGGACTCCTAGAGACAGCTTTCTTCAAGTCATGTTTCCTTAGAAAACTTAGTCACGCAAGAATATTGTAGATGTTATTCCTGCCAGAGGGAATATGTGCAGCTTTTTTTTTTTTTTTTACCCCTGCATGCATTCAGTTCTGGTGAAAATGGTTGGATTGACAGTGTAGGCAATTAAAAGCTTTTGAAATGCAAAGCAGGTGGAATTTTATTCAATTTATATGTAGTCTTACTATAAATGTACCTTACTGGATTCAGGCCAGTGAACTCCCAATTCTGTGCTTTAACCTTTGGAGGATGTTACCACCCTTATGACAGTTAGACTAGTAATATGGGCCGCTACTCTGTAAAGGGTACATCCCTTTAGTGTGAAGATGTAGGGTAGTGAGAGAGTTGAAGAAAGCCCCAGCTCGACCTCATGTGGCAAGTTCTCTGTTTGCATTTTTTCCTTCCTTATGAGATCTCATAGCCCAACATGCTCCTTGTCACCTTAAGTCTCTTCCCTTTTTAACAGGTTCTCTCTTCAGCTCAAGCTTCACATAAAGGTAAAAGTCCCTGTGTCTTGAACACGTTCCCTGAGCCATCTGTCATCCTGTAGGTGCTGCTTTCTTTATACTAATCTGAAAGGAGAATCTCAAAATCCAGAAGTAAGAGAGAAAATAAAGGGTGGGAGAGAAAGAGAGAAAAACCTTTTTTCTCTTGAGACACGAATGTCAATAGGTTTGAATCATGGCCCTTCTGTAATTAAAAACCACATAACTAGTTGTTTTTAAATGCAGTTGTTTTACTTAATTGATTTTGCCGCCAGGACCAAAGGGAAATAAATAAATAAATAAAATGCACCTTCCTAGTGAATTACTGGAGGCAGCTGAGTCTCTATTGGAATTTAATTGCTGCAAATGCTCCAGTTTGTTGCTAGCAGTAGTTTTCTGTGGAATGGGCTGGGAGAGAAGGGGTAGGGTGGTGTGGGAGGGGGCTCATTCCCTGGCAGCTGCAGGAGGGAACAGGCTGCTCCTTGTATAGTATTTTTCTTGCTTGTCAGCAAAAAGAATATTCCTTTAATGCTTTGCATGAAGACTTTGCTTAGAAGGTCTTTATTCATATTTAATTACTAGCTCGCTGCAGCTCCCATCTTTAATTACCTTTTAAAAAGCAGGTTATAAAAATGTACTGACATTCTTTCTTTTTTGTTACTGCATAGATTACAGGCTTCTCAACTGCTCACCCTAAATCAGTCCAGCCCGTGGGAAGGGTGGGACAGGTGCCCTTTGCTGGCTTCTGGGTAGCTCAGAGCTTGTCTGCCCTGCAGAAACCCTCAGCTAGCATTGAACTAACTCTGTGCCTGAAGCCACATAACCATGTTGGTATTCCCTCTGAGCTAATTAACTGTGCAGAAGGGCCTGGCTAGTCAGTCAGGCTGATATCACACTACCATGGTAATAGTGTTTTCAGGGCCTGAGTTGCAGGGTGCTGCACCGAGGGTCTTTAGCAGGGTGCTGTATTATGCAGGGCCGATGGGCCTTTGCCCGTCTCCCATTGCCTCACTCATGTCTGTCTAGGTTTTTACTTCCTGGACATCCTTCTGGTAAATCTATTTCTTCACTTGAAACTTCCCTTATAGTCTCATCCTGAGTTTCACAGCCAGAGCTGCTAATAATTTCCTTTCCTGCCCACAAAGTGCTTTGGTGTCCCCACCTGGTGCTTTTTCTGAACTGAGAGTACTGTTTACTTCTATTGAATGTGTGAGAAAGTCCATCACATAAAATATGTTTTCAGGCCAAGTCATCAGAGGTGCAAACTGCAATTTTTGTCCCCTTGCCCTGAATCCAGCCCTTACCACTGCTCCCGGTCACGTGCTGGCTTTCACCAAGTAAGCTAGCTGACGCTGCTGTAGGCACGGGAATAGGCACTGTCGGGTTTCAGGGGGTGATGGTGCGTGGTATGCAAGGTCTACAGAAGAAATACATGCAAAGGGACAGCTGTTGGCTTCTGCACCCAGTAACAACCAGGAATGCTGACCATAATTGCTCCAATCCATTGTCAGGACAGCCTGGAGGGGTCCCTCACATGTTGCCTGACCTCTCTGTGTCCCAGATGAAATGTGCTGCTGGGGCTCTGCCACAGGTTTCCACAAGCAGAGTATCTCCAGGGCACTTCTGCGCTTGGCAGGCTTCAGTAGGAGGCCAAGCTGTGACAAGGCTCAGGCAGGGGACAGAGGAAGGATGAAAGGGCTGAGCCTGCCCAGCTTTGTCACTTGCTGTCTCTGACCTGTGGGCAGGACTTTCCTTAGGATGGTCTGTGACACCCCAAACTGATGCCTCTTTCTCTTCTCCTGGCAGATAAAAGAGCTCTTTGTGAGTTTTGAGGACACTCCCTTGGGAGCAGCATCACTAGCCCAGGTGCACAAGGCAGTGCTGCAGGACGGGAGAACAGTGGCAGTGAAAATCCAGCACCCAAAGGTCCAAGCTCAGAGCTCCAAGGATATTTTGCTCATGGAGGTAAACTACCTGTTGACTTTGACTTACAGAGCAGTTGCCATTGAAATGTATGGGGGCCACATTCACCCATGGTGTAAGCAGGTATAACAGCACCATCCTGTAGCTTTGAAACCTCGGCAGAGATAAATGCTGTTTTACGGGAATAATACATAAAGTTGCTGAGGATTGAAGGTGGGTGATTGTGTGGACAGAGAGACTGAACAAGAGGGTAAGAGTGAAGGAGGGCAGAGGGAGAAGACAGGTAAACATGAATGACATCAGAGAAAGTTCATCTGAGATTTAAAAACTAGAGAGTGAGTCCTGAAGTCTCTAGTCAGCCTGTGTACCCATTAACTGGTTGATTAAACTGGTGTCAGTTCCCCTTGCGGTCAGGGCTGTGTGGCCAAGGAAAAATCGTTCTCTGTGGTTAGCGTGGTTTTTTCAGTTGAATTCCACTGTGGATTCAACAGTGGCTGAGTTAGTTGTGATTCAGTTTTGTTTCTTGATCAGCTCCTTAATGCTGAGCTGATTTATGTTGGGAATAAAAACACTGAAATATGGAGAGGGTCGCCTAACAGGGGCAGACACACAAATGAAGGATTCAGCTAGGAAAAAAAATTCAACACCTGTTTCCTATTCCTCTCCTGAATACCTGGTACCTACTTATGTTCCCAGTACAATGCTGTAGCTTCTTCCAAACTTTTAAGTCTAGCCTACTGAAAGGAAGAACTGGAGAAATGCACTGCATTGCAATAGTCAAAGATTCCAGTGGTGTGGTAGGGAATAGGAAATGGAGATGGGGCTGAGGTGGAGGAGAAGGGAAGGATTAGGTCTGTAGAGAGTAACACTAAAGCTTTTATCTCTCCTAATATGCATATATCTGTATGTATGGTACAGTAACATGCACATCCATTGGCAGACAGGCATCTCCATGGGATTAAAGAGGAGAGATTAAGCTGAGAGGGTCTGCTAAGTGTTCAGAGGGTACTGCTGATGCACTGACACACAGTTCGCCATCACAGGAGATCAAGAGTCAAAGTCCTGCCAGTACCCTCTCAGAGGAGCACATAGCTCAAGCTTCTTTAGGCAGCTAGAACACCCTGCTTTGAGCAATCCTAGCTAGTCTGCACAGAAGCACAGCTGGTTGCAGCTGGAGCACATCAATTTGCAGATGAATATTTACTTTGAACTTGTAGTGAAAGAAAATTTTGGATTTAATAAAAGTATCCCAGTAAGATGGGATATGTCTGTTTCAGTGTTGGTTTGAGAACAGAGAACTGTTTGAACTGGCCTTGGGTCCAGCTGTAGATTTGGATTTGATTCAGGTCCTCTCCAGGACTGGCTGCAGTGGTCTACATGATGAGTTTGCTTTTGTGAGTCATCACATGCACAGCAGTTCTCAGAGGGCTTATGGCATCCTTCACTCCTGCCCAAGACAGGATGGCAGAAACTAAGCAGTCAAGGAAGAAGACTGAGCAGCAGGTAATGAAAGACCGTGAGACCAGGGCAGCAAGAGGATTGTGTATGAACGAGCCAAGACCTAGATTCACCTTGGGACATTTGTCCTTTTGACAGTGGGTATCACATGAAAAATTCCACCTCATACTATTTTGTTGTGATTTCTGGTTGAACTGCTAAGAGACTTTTAAACAAATAATTTTAGAATGATTCCTATCTTTTATGTTTTTAGACTAATCCTGGGAAACTTGAAACTAAAACAGTGTATTTCCTTTGCAATTGTCCTTCCTCTACAAACAGTCTAATTTGTCATCCTCAAGATTGATTGTGTACACACAGCTCTGGGAAGGTAGCTCACAGCATGACACATGCAGTCTTGTTTTTAAAGGGTCTCTTGTGGAGTGTTGGCTTATGTGCATCATCATATCCTTGTGTGGGACTATTTTTGTGTAGGCTGCACTGAAAGACAGATTATGTGCACTGAGGTTCTGGTCCTTTAAGAATCAGACAGACATTGGAGCTAGGTAGGAGGTTGATTTAAATATTGATGGAAGTGGTCTTATTTAGAGACTGATGGGAAGGAATCTGAATGGGAAGAGCTAGATGGAAAATTCCTAAATTCACTTGAGGTTTCATATCATCAGTGCTGACGCTTTAAAAATCAGTACAGTGTCTGATAAATCAAGAGAGAGATACCTCACTGCTGTTCTTATATCAATACTTATTTCAAGACAATATGTTAGACAGATGTCAGAAAAGGGACAGGCCAAATACTTAAGTATGTCCCTGCTGATGGTCAAGTTGGCAAATTGATTGAAAAGAGCATTTAAATAAAGCAAAAAGCAATGCATGAATTTTCTCACATCAGGCACCAATGAAATGATCCCGCAGCCCCTATAAATTTTATGTACACATTCATGAAGATCGCTGGTTACATTTCATTTGGGTGACATAAATTTGAAAGGATTTATGCCTCTAGATATAACAGTAGAAAAATCATTCAATAGTGTCTGGAACCTGGTGATTACATTTTTAAAGGAACATTGAGTTTGGAACTGACATTTAGATAAGAGAAGTAGAGAGAGGGGTGGAGAACAAACGTTTTCACACAGCTGAACAGGAACAGTGATGGTTCATAATTTTTTTTTTTTTGTCATACATTTCAATGATAGCAACTTCCTGTGTGCACTCTAAATGTTCCTTCTGCACTGCAATGGTGGAGGTCTAGAAAGGGGAACTGTCCAGAAACACACACTGACAAGTCTGTTTTCATTTTCAGATGGATGTACAGAACAAGTCAGATACAGACAGCAAAGTGGAGTGCTTTTTTATGTCTTATTCTTGTTCAATGACTCAAGTAGTTTAAAAAAGTCAAACAAAATATTTTCCTTAAGATGTGCTCCAAATTGACAACTTGCCTAAATTTGTGACACTGGTTGAGAAACTGGCCCTTCATTTGCGCAGAAAGCATGCTTGGCTGCTGTGCAGCTTTGATTATGCCATCCAATCGCATAATCTTGATTTTCTTCAGGCAGGACTGCCCATCCCTCACCTGTTAAATGTTGCTTTAAGGAAACATTTCCAGGAATTTTTCGGCTGGGCTTTTCAAGGCCTTGTGCAGCTGAATACCTGATCCCTTTAAGAAGAGGATGCCAGGTGGTGGATATATGATACTTAGAAAACACCACCTCAGCATTGCTGAGGATGGCTGTAAATGATGCTGAGGAGCAACTTGCCCTCTGACTCCCACCAGAAGTGTCCTTTAATGATCTGTAGCCCACTACCTGTATCCAAACTCCACTGTCTTCTCCGAACTGCCCAGTGGATATTCTGTGTTAGCAAAATTCTTGCTTAGCAGTGGAAGAAGTAACACAGGTGACAAGTCTTACTTTAGATCTTCCTCTTCTGCATTATCTGAGCTCTGTTCAAATGAAGCCAAACAGTGACTTGTGGAATTATAGGACTCACAGTTGCTCCTGGGTCATGTCCATGTTGAGATCTGGCATATGGTCTCTTCTCCAGGGCTTTGTTCTCTTAATTCTAGGCAGAAGGCAGCTGGGCTCCCTTTGGTGTCTGTGCCATCATTTAACTCCTAGATGTGCCTGTGTGGAAGGGCAAGCCAAAATTTGTGTTGCATACCAAGGCGTGACACCACGTGTTGTGTTATGATACTGCAGGAAGGCTGCAAGCACTTGGGGTGGAGGTTGGTTTTTTTTGTCTGTAAATTACATGGAATGATCCTATCAGAACAGCACTATGTGTAGCTGCATGGCTTTGGAACCAGGATGCAGCTGGCTGTTTCCTTGTTCTCAGGTTCTCCTTTGGGTTGTGAAGCAGATCTTTCCAGATTTTGAATTCATGTGGCTGGTGGAAGAAGCTAAGAAGAATCTGCCCTTGGAGCTAGATTTTCTCAACGAAGGCAGAAATGCTGAGAAGGTTGCTCATATGCTCAAGAACTTTGACTTCCTGAAGGTGAGGGAACACACATTTCTGTGTATGTATGTGCATTAATAGTCTCACTTTATGTGTCTGTGTGCCTCATTCACCACCTATAGGAGCCTTACAGAGGGAGAATATAGCTCTGTATTGTTCACCCTAGACTGCTCTGCTGCTGCAGACCAGAAACTGCTCTGAGACATGTTTCCTCCTTGTCTGTTTCCTACTGTAGGCACTGTATATTGGATTAGGAGTAGTGGCTTGTGGCCAGCAGTGTCTGGAGCCTGCTACTCATTTTCGCAAACACTGTTTCTTTGCTGAGCCATTTGATGGTACCTTTTCTTGGGCTTTTTCTTAACTGAGGGCAAGAACTGGACATAAACCAGAAAAGCTAGTCTGAAGCTGATGATGTCAGGTAGGACTGGGGACACCGTGTATCTCAGGAGGAAACATGTTTGCATTAATCTTTCCTCCTGCAAAAAACCACATTCTCACTCTGGAATTGAGCATACATCCTTCATACACATCCATGGCCAAGGCATTCATGTTACCTTCATACACAAACTCAACTGGACCTGTATTGTGCTCTTCCCCACTGATGCTCTTACCCCACCTCCCCAGCTACACACTGACTAAGGTCACTGACAAATGTCTCTAGTACAACCAGGCATGTACACATCCCATTCCCAGAAATACATAAGCTCACATCTCCAAACTTACATGTGCACAGATCTTTTGCTGACATACAAGAGGCACAAGCCTCCACTGTGTGTGTTCTGGAAATACACAAGTATGGTCAAGCACACGTAGTACTGTGGGTACAGGCACTGACATAACTGCATTTGCACACGCACAAAAGCAGCAAAAAATGTACCCTCCTTTGTACCCTCCTGCACACACACATCAAAATGAGGTTTTCACCTCCTGTTTATGCAGAAGTCTCAAGATAGAAGTGACAGATGTCTGAAATCAGGTGAGTTTTTGTTGGGCTTTACAGGCTGATGCATCTATTTTTTCCTTGCTTCCTCCATGCAAGGACTGTAATTCCTTGTCACCTGACTCCAGGTTTGGGGCAGTCTTTTTGGAGCCTGGTGACAGCAGTGGCCTTCCCATAGACACTTATACCTAAAAGCCACCAGGGCTACCGAAGGCCAAAGGCCAATGGTTTTGCTGAGTGGGCGCTTATCAGAAGTGATGCACCTTGGAGAGATGTATCCATTGCAGCTGTAACTAGGATACTGTGAAGAAAGTCCCCATGGAGACGGCCAATCACCTCGCTGGGTTAAGGAGCTATCATGGTATCAATATGTGTAACAATAACAAATGGCTTGAGATGGCTAAATAATGGATCCACCCGTCTGACCTGCCAATTCAGAGACGTGTTCATCACCCAAAGGCAACGGAAGAATTGGGCTCCTGTATCATTAATTTTCCTAAACACGCTAGAAAGCTGAGAAGTAGATTTTGTGCCGTGAACCTGTTTGAGCTTTTAAAGCCAGAGATAAATTGTTTCCATGCACTAGCATTGCAGCCAAACATCTGTGAGTAATTAAAAAAATCACTGAAGAATTTGGCTGTGAGTGAGAGGCATCTCTGGGAGCATGGATAGTGACTTGCCCCTGTAAATCCTGAGACAAGAATGAGCATCATCTGAAGTGATCTAAGGCAGCAGGGACTGGTGAGCTAGGTGAGCTGGGAACTGTTAGTTTTGGAGTTGGTTTGCTTTCTCACCAATCTAACTGCAAAGAATGGACATCCAGATAAACTAGGAAGGCTGCAAGTAACTGAATCCCCCTTGCCCATAGTGGATCTCTGGCATCAAAGTCTACACAAGATTAACATGCAAAGTATGTCACGAGTATTGAGCGGTGGGACTAAGGGAATTGCTCAGCAAAGGAGCCTTTGATCTAAAGCCGCGCACACATAGTAAGGTAGAAGTGGGTGATATTGGAAAAATGGTCTCTCTAGGACAGGAACAGTGGGGGAGGCAGATAGATTGTGAGGGACTGAGATGCTGTCAGTAGTTACAAGCAGCATATAAAACAAATGCTGCTTGTTCAGGAGTTATGATGAGCTACAGTGGACTGGTTGGTCCCTCTGGCTTTGGTTGCACTAGATGGACAACACCTCTTACCTCTTCCTGTCCTGCCTCAAAGTGCTGGACCCTTGCAATGTGTGAGTCCTGAGCCCACAGCTGAGTCAGGCAGGTGAGGAGAGGGGGCTGCACAGCTGGCTCTCTCTTTACAGGATCCAAAATGTGCATCTCTGTACTGGGGCACAGTAATGGGAATGAGTGGAGCTCCCTTATATCTTTGATAAAATGTAACTGTGTGACTTCACCCATGTGCGAAGGCAAATCTGCACAGTTTGAGACATTGGTCAGCATGATGATGTGAAGAATACCTAAGGGTAACTTCAACAAAAAGACTCTTGACAGTGGGGACTTCAGCATGGGAAGAATTTGGCTGGAGAGAGAAGCTGGAAAAGGAGGAGCCATCCTGAGCGATGCCTGCATCACTGCCTCCCTGGGTGACACCAGGCCTCTTACTGCTACCTCACTCAGCTTGATTTACTGCAGATTGAATGAAAAGTGCTTTGATATTTTACACTTGTTACTGCGTCACGTTGGCAATAAGATAGTTAAGGGTGCCCCAGGGTTTCTGTGACAAGCGCCTTATTTGTGACACTTGATTTTCCTCCCAGTTCAATTGCAGATGGCCTAAGTATGCAGGGTTTGTCAGCTCAGAGGTGTTTATGTTCCAGGGGGCACTGTGGAGATACAATTTATGATGATGGCTTATCATTTTTAAAACTGCATAAGAGGGCCCTGTGCATAGCAAACGAGATGCACTTCCTGTCTAAAGGAGCTGAGTTGATGATTCAGTAACTTGCAGTAGGTACTAGTTAAACAGCCCAACTAGAGGAGCTGCAGAGCAGATAAGAAAGCTGTGAGACAGACATCAGTGGGAGTGGGAGGTGGTCAAAGTCTTACAGAGCATGGCCAGAAATGTTGCATGAGGACAGTTCCTGCTGCCATTGTCCTTGCACACATTGCTGCTGTCCCGAGGAAGAGATCAGTAGGGGGATTGACCTCCTGTGTACTTAGGAAAAAAACAAGTCCTCACTTCAGCCTTTTCCATTTTTGTTCCTTTTCTGGGTTAAGTGTGATATATTCTCCTTACTTTCCCAGCCTGTTGTTTGACCTAACTCATCTCTTCCTGTTTCAGGTCCCCAGGATCTACTGGGAGCTCTCAACAAGGCGCGTCCTTCTCATGGAGTTTGTGGAAGGGGGACAGGTGAACGACAGCGCCTACATGGAGAGGAATGGCATCAATGTCAACGAGGTAGTTTCTCACCCATCTCTGAATTGGGTGTGATGAGCAATGCAAAACTGATGTTGACATCAACTGATGTTGATACAAAATGGAGGCTGACAGGGCAGAAAGGGGCAGAAAAGGGAGCACGTACAGATGTAAACAGAGCAGTCAATCTGAGAGATCTCAGTTCTTGTGCTTCTGGGAAAAGTACACAACTCTTTTTGGGGAACACTCTCCTGTAGGCTGCACAGCTAGAGAGATCTTACAGGAGACGCATAATGAAAGATGACCATGCTCTTATATTACATACACCCATGGTTTGTTCCAAGATGGCAGTTCCTGTTATCCTAAAGGAACAGCTTCAGCTTCTGATTCTCTTCTTTCCCTCTCTTTCTTCTGCATTAACTTTCTCCTGGACAGATGCATGGGATGTAGCTTGTATATCCCAACAGCTATCATCTGATGCAGGAGATATAAATAATAGGTCTTATATGGTCACAGTTATTAGAGTGCTGGAGCCTCAGCCATGGTGCTTTGTGTAATATTCTGACATGGATTGTTTTCTTCTGCTTTCCAAAATCTCTCTTTTTCTTATGGAAGCAACAGTATTCTTCTTTGCCTCTTGTTCCTACATTACTGTGTAGTTTTGCAGTCCTTCATTAAGCAGCTGCCAGATTTCTTCCCTACAGAGAGGCTACATTTCCCTGACGAGTGAAATAGTTTGTATGTGTGGCATGAAGTTGGGAGAGCACTTTGGATTCTCTGTGGCTGAGAGATTTTTAAGGAAAAGAAGGTATTACTTTCCAGAAGGGCTGAGAAGGTGCTGGAGGAAAGGGTTTTGAGCCATTGGACAGTGTGTCAAGCCACCACTCCCAGTCAGTGAGTGCTGATTGAGGCGCTGCTCCTTGGTTTTCCCCTTGTGCCCTATCGATGAGCTTCAAAGCTGCACTTGACTGGCTATCAAAGAGCTATGGCATAAAATCAATTATACTTAGTCTTTCCATCCACTTACCTGCAAAATCTGAACGCTTCCTCTTTCTCTGCTTTTCCTCCTCTCTGCTCTCTTTCTATCCACGGCAAAGTTCACGTGGCATCAGTTAGAGGCATGCCAAAGACCTCTCAAGGGAGGGGAAATGTGAGTTTACTGTGCCCCACAAGGAGAGAACGTTAAGTGTATCTTCTCAGCTGTCTCCCTAAGTCAGCATGCAACTCTTTCTCTGCCTAAAGAGCTCAGCCAAATTACAGTTGGGGGACTGAGTAACCTGCCTGTTTCTCTGCCTGTTTCTCTTCACCTCTTCCTCTGCTCTTGCACCCTGCAGAAGTCAATGAGATATTTTCTAGTAGCCTCTGCAGGTGGAAAGGCAGGCACCTTTTCATGTGTTTCTCCACTGAAACACAGGAAAGGAAGATCTAAGGTTAAAGTGGATTTTGAGACTGTCTTTCCATTGTAATTGTGATGAACAAGCCAAGGTCAATGGGTAATAGTGAACAATGCTCTCTTCCCTGCGAGATGTCTTGTCCATTTTCATTCAAAGGACTTCTTAAATGAATACAGCCTCACCCATAGATAGTAGATAGTGCAGTCTCTCTCTTTTCATTTCTCCATCAGGAAGAATTTGGAGCAATTGCATCACTGGTTTTCCTCCTCCCTCTCATCAGGGCATCATAGAGGTCATTGTCAGCTGATCAGAGGTAGGCACAATTCCTTCTCTGTGTCTACTTTGTGCTTATGATCTTTCTTTGTATTTACCAAGGTAAGTGCCTCAGTGATGCATCTGGTCAGCAAAGAGCACCACAGTGTAACTCTTGAGAACATGGTAGCTCATGGACTTTGCTATCAAGAGAGATTTTAAAAGTCTCCTCCATGGCAGGACACACAGCTCCATTCACCTGGACAAGTCAACTAGTCAAAAGTGAGAGATTAGTTTCTTTGGGTGAATTTATCCTATCCTTTTCTTCTACTGTAAAGGCAGAGGTCAAATCTAGCCCACAGTGCTCAGATATAACAGTGAATATTTCTCAAGTCTAAATAGTCAGTCAGAAGGGCTGTTTTGATGCCTTCACAGGAGGACTCTTGAGCAATATGTACATTTGGATTTTGAGCTGGGCTTCTTCACAGTTCTTGAACAGCAGATCCATTCTGAGATCGAGGTAGCTAGCGTAGTGTAGGTCCCTGGGACTTCAGTTGCTTCTTTGAATTTTCTGAAAATGCTCGAGATAGCAGAGTTGTCTGGAGAAGCCTGGGAAAAACATTCTTTACAATCTTCCACAGCTTTCTGAAGCCAGTCAGGGTGGAAAATTCAATGACTTCAGCCTTTCAGTGGGATATTGTGGTGGGTTGACCCTGGCTAGGTGCCCGATGCCCACCAAAAGCTGCTTTATCACTCTCCCTCCTCAACCGGACAGGGGAGAGAAAATATGACGAAAGGTTTGTGGGTCAAGATAAGGACAGAGAGAGATCACTCACCAATTACTGGCACGGGCAAAACAGACTTGACTTGGGGAAAAGAAATTTAATTTATTACCAATCAAATCACAGGAGGATAATGAAAGATAAAACCAAATCTTAAAACACCTCCCTTCCTCCTCAGGGGGAGGACTCTTCACACTCTTCACCCACACCAGTGTGGCATCCCTCTCATGGGAGACAGTCCTCCATGAACTTCTCCAGCATGAGTCCTTCCCATGAACGACAGTTCTTCACAAACTGCTCTAACCTGGGTCCTTTCCATGGGGTGCAGTCCTTCAGGAAGGGACTGCTCCAGCGCGCTCCCCCCACAGGGTCGCAAGTCCTACCAGGAACCTGCTCCAGTGCGGGCTTCCCACAGGGTCACAGCCTCCTTCAGGCATCCACCTGCTCCAGCATGGGGTCCTCCACGGGCTACAGGTGGACATCTGCTCCACCGTGGACCTCCATGGGCTGCAGGGGGACAGCCTGCCTCACCACAGTCTGCACCACAAGTTACAGGGTAATCTCTGCTCCAGCACCTGGAGCACCTCCTCCCCCTCCTTCTTCACTGACCTTGGTGTCTGCAGGGTTGTTCCTCTTGCATGTTCTAACTCCTCTCTCCAGCTGCAAAATGTGCTGTTTTTTTTTTTTTCTCTTCCCCTTCTTAATTATGTTATCACAGAGGCATTACCATTGTTACTGATTGACTTGGCCTTGGCCAGCGGTGGGTCCATCTTGGAGCTGGCTGGCATTGGCTCTGTCGGACATGGGGGAAGCTTCTGGCAGCTTCTCACAGAGGCCACCTCTATGCCCCCCGCCGCTACCAAAACCTTGCTGCGCAAACCCAGTACCTATATTTTGCTGCCAGTATGTGCCAAAATAAAGTAGAGAAGCAGCTAATTTCAGTTTTTCTAACTTGCAGAGGCTTTTGCTTGTGATAGGAGAAATTTAGGGTGAAAATTCAGCTCATTTTTTGTTGTGTTGTGACGTCTTGGCACAATAGGTTCCGTGCAGCAATGAAACCACAGATTTTGCTGATTCTGAGATGGTCTCTATACAGTGGCTGAGATGTAATTTTAAAAAAGTTGTCAACAGACTTCTGCTACTGCAAAGGATAAGCCTTAGAGGTTTCTGGCAATCTGTCAGGTATGGGATGTTCCTCAGCTCAGTGGTGGGACTGAGTTTCTGCCTGTTCTTTCTTCCTTTTCTCTCTTCACCCCCAAAATTGAGATTAACTTTTACAGATTGCCAACAAAGCAACAGCAGAAAGGAGGGAATACTGAGTCTGTCAGAATCATGTGATAGGGAACAAGGTCAGTTATTATGGCCACAGTAAGATGAGGTAGGAACAGTGCACACCTCAGACTTCTCTGGCAAGGTGTAGCAGATGGGGACAGGTATGACCAAGATCCGTTATCAGCTGCTGCTGTTGATGCCCTGGGTAACAAGCTGCATGACATGGTGGTGAAATGAGCAAAAGGCAGCAGACACTGAAAGGAGCATGAGGAGAGGGTGGTAACCCAGGTTTCAAAACCATGACATGGTTTATAATATACAGCAGTTCTGGCTTTCAAGAGATGCATTAGCTCCCTATAAATCACCTCAATCTATTTATCAACCCCTCTATCATCTTACTCCATTTTGTTTTACTGTGCGGAGGAAAAGGAGTCTTCACTAAGCAGGATTTCTCTTGTGTGACAATGCAGCCTTGAAAAGCAAGCTGAGCCTCTCTCCTCTAAATGGAAAGGATCCCTGAGGTGAAAGCTCCCTTCAAACCAGGTTACTGACATTTACTTAATACCGTCTGTAGCAGGATTATCATTAAAGCTGCCCAAAAGCACATTAATCTCTCTGGATCCGTCCAAGCGCTGGATTGTAATGGCATTTAATCAGAGAAGGCTTTGATTTCTAAAGACAAGTGCAAACACTGAAATATCTGCCTGTGGAACAGTTACTTATTCATGTGCAAGTGTAGCTGAGGATGAGCGTGCCGCTAGGATATTGACAGTGGGAGGGGAGCCTGGAGAGGGGAGTTATCAAGAAATGAGCTGGCATGAATTTTGAGGGAAGACCAGGCCATGGTACAGTTAAGAAGGGAGCCACCTGGAAACTGCGTTGTTCCTGTTTGAAAACACAAGAGCATTTACAGTCTTAATTGGGAAGGTACATTTGGAAGAGGTGAGCAGAGCAGGGCAGGGAGGAAAAATAGACTGAGGGGCTCTGAAGATGTTTGTAGCATGCTGTACGCAATGGTACAGAGGGAAGGAAGGATAGCAAGGCTCCTTAGAGCATGGACTTTTAAAGAAGATCCCAAATGGCACCAGTGCTCCTTTTGCACCCATTCTGATTCTACCCGATTCATTTAGAGAGACCTTGTCTGTATACAAATCTTAACATTATCTCTGATCTGCTGCATGGGTCCTGCCTGTCCCTCCTTGTGGATGCTCTGCCTGTCTCTGCAGAGACTGCTGGATCAGCACACTGTTGGAGCTGTGGAGCTTACAGCTGCGCTCGTGGCATGTGCTGTATTGCCTCCAACTAACCAGCCAGCTCAGGTAGCCAAGCAGAGTCCCCCATG